GTGAGTAAAACCTTTCTTTTGTATTCCCAACGTTTCATTTTTGTTATACTTGTCGCTGTTCGTGGCGTTTATCCCATACCAGTGCTTATCCAGGGATTAATGTGGTAAGTGATCAAATCATTTGTTTTCGTTAAAATCGGCAACTGGAATATAATAGACCCATAAAAAAGGCAGAAGTCACAAGTTTCGACGATATTGGGCAAAGGCGCACGAAACTGAGATTCTTTGTCCTAGAATTTCGATTTGCTTGTATCCATCATTTTAACGGGAAGTATGACACCGAGATTGCTTTCATATTCATTGTGATTTCTTGTATTGCGTGCGAAAAAAAGAAAGTAAGTGTTTTCTCGCAGGACTTCATGAAATACATACAGCAAGACGACGATAGAGTGCAGCTTTCCTCTTAGATCTTTTAGTATATGAAACTGGGCATATGATGTATGTTATCACGTGAGTACGTATCAGTTACGCGTCCTCCATGAGAATGATTACATCAGTTGATGTAACACGTGACCATAGCATGAACCCCTGTGGTAGTGGGAAACAAGCGGCTGTGACCGGTCAAGTTGTCGCAGTCACCCATGCGGCGGCATGTCTTGAGATGAGAGTCTGTAGTATACTTTTGTTATAGTTAGTTTAGATATCTTCTGTATTTCCTGATTATAGCGCACTGTGTATCTAGAATAACTCCATCTTGGCAGTTAGATATATTGGGATTTTAAGTAAATACAACACACAAGTTTTATTGCGTCACATTTCATAGATGGACGAATATTATTATAGTGTCTCACGTCTCACTTCTTACGAGGCTGTGAAATGCCAGCAGTGAAGCGCTCGGTTCACACATGCACATAACTGATTGCTTTCCTATTGTCCCGACTCAGATACCTATTAATTCCTAGTAAATTGCTGGACTGGTAGTCGCAACTTCAGCGTTCGCACAGGGGGCGACTATATAACCTTTTATAACGGATATGTAATGAATTGGTGTCAAGAGAACTGCTCGTTAAAATACCCCCAAGTTTTATGTTTTGTTTTTTGTTTGCTTGTTTCTCATGTAGTATTATCGGTAAACGAAAGTGATTTAATTTAGAGGACAATACTCTTTGACGAGGCATTTTATTTTTTTTAAAAAAAAAAAAAACACGATAAATGAGGGAAATATACACACGGTATTCTCCAATAATGAAACGTTGAGCGGATAGCTATTACCCTTGTGGAAAGATACACTTGCCGAAACTCGTTTCCGGCATGAAGTGTGTAGCATTGTGATTGAAAGAGGAAGCGAGAGGATGTGCTTTGTTTGTGTTTTTTCTGAGTTATTATAGTACGGCCATGCGCGAGAAGTGCAGGTGTAGAGAACGTTGTCTTTTTTCGTGACTTCGTGGAGCTACGGATCTTGAAGTGAAACCCTACCAAAGCAGTGACACTTCTAAAACCTTGCTGACTAGACCTTTGCATGCGAGTTTGTCTGTTTGGTTCTCTATATCACAGTGTGTGTGCGTGTAAAATGTCAAATATGTAAGAAAAAAAGTATGTAAAGATGTGTAAAAGAGTGTATGTAAAACTGTAAAATTGTGTGTACAATTTGTATGTGTAATGTGTGGGTTATTATGTAAAAAGTATATTTGCGTGTAAAAAAGTGAATTTAAACATAGGTACATGTCCATGTAGAAATGTGTGTTTGTGCCGTTGTGTTTTGTTTCTAAAAGTCATTTGCTTGTTCCTATTAAGTGTGTTTTGTGTTTGCATATGTATCATTAATAGGATATGCCCGATGACCACTGTCCTTGTCTGGACCCTTAACGTTTGCGGTCACACGAATGAGGGTTAGTTGCAAGTACATGTTAGTGCAAGGCAGATTAAAACAGGATGGGAGGCGAGCCCGACGTGAATAGAATTAGTTCTTTTGAAATTTACAAAACGTCGCTTGAGGTTGCTTCAGTGGTTCGAAGTGCGTAGTTAGCGTCCGGTCAATATTGGTGAAGGAGGTGGTTGCCTTGGCCATAGTCGTTGATAGTGTGGGAAATTGTTTGTATTATAAGGGGGTGTCAGGACCGCAGGTTTGCAGGGTGAAAGGAGTCTGAAAGGATAAAAAAAGTTGGGGAAAACAGTGCTAAAATGTGGCGAGTAGGTTGATGGTGATAAGGAAGCCTCGAAAGAGGAAAAGAAAGATGGAACACCTACAAACATGCACAGATGCAGATACCTGCATAGATACACACATCCATCATACATACATTCATAAATGACGCATATATGCATGCATAGATGACACATATGCATAAATCACATATATACATACATATACATGCGTATGTATTTAGATGACATACATTACATAAGATGCTTAGATGAAACGCATAGATACGAACATATACTTAGATACATACATACATAGATCCACACATACATACAGATACATAGACACATATATACATATAGATACACACGCAAACATACATACAGATACATACACATATACATACACATACACCATATACATACAGATACATACACAAACATACATACAGATACATATACATACAGATACATACACATACAGATACATACATACATACAGATACATACACACATATACATAGATACATACGCAAACATACATACAGATACACTATATACACAAACATACATACAGATACACACATACATACACAAACATACATACAGATACATACACACACATACAGATACATACACACACATACATACAGATACATACACACATACATGCAGATACATACACACATACATACGGATACATACACATACATACGGATACATACACACACATACATACGGATACATACACACACATCATACAGATACATACACACACATGTACATACAGATACATACACACACATGTACATACAGATACATACACACATGTACATACAGATACATACACACACATGTACATACAGATACATACACACATGTACATACAGATACATACACACACATGTACATACAGATACATACACACACATGTACATACAGATACACATACATACAGATACACATACATACAGATACACATACATACAGATACATACACATATACATAGATACATACACATATACATACAGATACACATACATACAGATATATGCACACACATACATACAGATACATGCACACACATACATACAGATACATGCACACACATACATACAGATACATGCACACGCATACATACAGATACATGCACACGCATACATACAGATACATGCACACGCATACATACAGATACATGCACACGCATACATACAGATACATGCACACGCATACATACAGATACGTGCACACGCATACATACAGATACATGCACACGCATACATACAGATACATGCACACGCATACATACAGATACATGCACACACATACATACAGATACATGCACACACATACATACAGATACATGCACACACATACATACAGATACATGCACACACATACATACAGATACATGCACACACATACATACAGATACATGCACACACATACATACAGATACATGCACACACATACATACAGATACATGCACACACATACATACAGATACATGCACACACATACATACAGATACATGCACACATACAAACAGATACATGCACACATACATACAGATACATGCACACATACAGATACATATACACACGCATAAACATGCAGATAAACGCACATTAAGTGAGAAGGCGAGGGCGTGGCATTGTTATCTTCAATTCTCGGCCATCATGTTTGTCCAAGAGAAAGGGAGAGTTGAGATGACCCGCGGCGGAGGCTCGGGCACCTCCTCCCCCTTCGAGTGCACGAGTTCGCTGGGTTTGCGTGTATTATTAGCTATCGGAAGCATGTACAGTGAGATGCATTTTGTAAGTATTGTCAGTGTGTATATATATTTTTTTCATTTGTTTGATGGTTAAGTATTTTTAACTAGGTCGAGATGGAGAAAATGAAAGTTTTATGTATGTAGGTGTTGCGGTGAAGGCGACCTGCACTCGGGTTTTATTTACTGATGTTTCTTTATCAGAGCAATACCCTGGTGACTATATAAATGGCCTCGGTGTCTGTATTCATGTAAATGTTATATCGTTAGTGTGCGAAAAATCATAGCGGCATAGCATGCTTTCTCTCTTGGTAATGCATGCATGACAAGTCACTTTCATTTAAGCGGTGGAGGCGGGGGGATGTAATTCCTCATGGTCCAGGAAGCAGACCCAAACTTCCTCGCGTACTAGACGTGAAGCCGCTCCACAATGTGAGAAGGCCTGTGTTATTTTGACAAGTCTACTGCGTTAGCAAGTACACATGGCTTCACAAACGGCGAGAAGTGGGTCGCCAGCTACTTACATGACTCAGCCAGGTTCTTGGGAGGTCCCACGGCACGCTGGCGGCAGAGGAGAGAGCCTTTGCCTCGCGTTTCATTGTGATCTGGTCGGGGGTTCGGTGGGAATGACATAGAGACGCGTTTATGTTGTTTGCAGAGGCTCATAATTTATATAAGGCGAAGAGGGCATTGTGTAAGGTCTCCTCCATGTTCTGCGTGGGCCAGACGGTCGCGCCCGTAGAACGAGTCTCACTTGTAAGGCAGCGTTGCCACCTACACGGCTTGGGTTGCCTACTGTCGCCAGCGGTGACATTTCATCCGTACAGCTCTATCATTTTGATCCTTTGTGAGCAGATTTATGTTTCTTAGTATTTGTTTTGAACACAAATGGACACGATGGGAGTTTTCTTTTTTTCGAAACAACGCACTAAAATTAGGAAGCGGGAATGGAGGGGAGAGGTTTATTTCCGCATTTTCTGAAATGATGTCCTGGTATTACCTCAAGGCAGTCTCGAGAGTTGTCATACTGGAAGTTATGATTCCCAGTTTTGGTTGTTTGTTTTCTGGCTTTATGGCGCGGCCTCTATTAGGTATCTGGGGGTTCGTTTCAGTTGAATCAAAGGCTTTTACTGGGAGTACGGAATT